TGGAAGTGTGTACAAGAACAACAAAATATCTTTAAGCACACAGCTGTATAATAGTGATAGGCTTTTGCATATTTTATGCGTGTTCGTTTGCAGCTTGAAATGAAATCCACCAACAACAACCATATGGTTTTAAAGTAAATGAAATATTGTATATGATAAACACACACACTTTTGCTGTGGTGTGGTTTCTGGTTTTTTTTAGCAAGTCTATGTCCATATTGTTGTGGTGCGAAATTATGGTACAGTTTAAGCGAATTTTGTAGATTTAATGGTAAACGTGTCGGAACTTATAAATTTTGAAGTAGGTCAAGACTTCGATTAGATCAATAAAATAAAATTTTTAGATTCATTGACTTAATTGCCATAAATTGTATTTTTTAGTTAGGACTTAAGAAGTCATACTTGACAAAAAAAATTAAAAGTGTTAACCACTTACTTAATCCAAATTAAAAGCTTGATTTACTTTTAAAAGGACTCTCGAATTTATATATATTAGATGCCATATAACTTTTGAACTTAACCCATAACTTTTGAAGATTAAAAATGCCAACCACTTTTTTCAAACATTTGTGACATGTTTACAAAGTTTTTCTTTCCATAACTCTTTGAAAACCCATAAAGCCATCAGGATCTCCGGCTATTCTAGCAAAAAAAAATGTCGATAGCCTAACTAATGCTCTATTCCAGAAGCTGGAAAAATTTATTAGTTTTGGAAGAAAAAATCGGTAGTCGGAAAAAACGTTAACATTCTTTCAAATACCAAAACTTCTGTCATTTTCCAAAAAAGTAATTTCCCAAAAAAAAAAAAATTGTCGTAAAAATACTTACGTGGGCATTATAGAGATGTACATAGCCATCGCCCACACGTATTCTGCACATGCCAACACCTTTGCCGCCAAACCAATCGGCATGCTGGATGCGATGACAATAACCATTTACGGTCCATGAATGGAAAAGTGTACTAACTATGGGAAATTTGGACAAGACCAATAAACCAGCACCAATAACGCCACTAGAATGGAAAAAAAGAAACAATTATTGCTAAGCCAAATTTTAGCACTATAAACAAATTACCTATAAAAATAATGGGCATATGGTAATATTGCCTTTGTCAGTTCCTGTAACACCATGCTATCCTTTTCCGTCCATACCTCCTGCAGTGATACAATATCATATTTCCCCGAGCTCAACTCCTTGCCAATGTGTTGCATACGTTCGGCTCGATCTGAGGAGACAAACGGTATACCCCTAAAAAAGTCGAAACAGGAACATATCAAATCAAAATTAATTTAATTGACCTTGAATTGTTAACAGTTCAACCAAGTGTTTCGTTTGTTTGTTTTTATTTCAACATTTACTATTTTACTATGGAAACACACAGCTTTTGTTATTTTTTTTATTTGCAAACATTGTTGTTTGTTGTTGTTGATTAATATTCTTCTCACTTACCATACGTTTAAGGTCAATACACTCAATTCGAGGGACACCATATTGTCCAGTTTTTTGTTTGAGGACTTGTGTCTTTGTTACAAAAATACCTTTTGTTGATGTAATACAAAGTCCTTGTTTATTTATCTCATCACAATTGCACATACACACGCTTTTCTTCTTTTATCTATAAAAAATAATGCTTGATTGTTGAAAATTTGAACAAAGACAACCGTAGGCAAAATAACAATGCAAAACACTACACAACACCCCTACAAGCCAGATATTTAGATATTCAGTTGTTTTGTTTTTGTATCGCCTCTTTTGATAGTGATTGATTGTTGTTGCCACCTGTACAGTGGTGGTTATCGATAAATGTGTTTGGCGATTATCGTTCACTGTGTTGCCACTTATTCAAAAAGCAGTTTGTGCGAAAGCGAATGATTTTATTTTGACGGCGTCTACATTTCGTGATTTGGTTATTATACCGTAAATTTCTTAACGATATTTCGAATTTGTGCTGAAAACTTATTTGTTAGATATAATACCTTTAGTTAAGTTAATAAACAATAAATAAACAATGTATTAAAGTATGAGTATAAAGTTTAGGGATACAGGAAACCGTGAACCAATGTGATAATGATCATAATTGCTGTGTTTCAGAACTGCAAGATGTAATTTTTTGCCAAGATTACCGATTTTTCCTTTATGATATCGACAATAAATTGAAAAACTAATGGATCTAGCAGATTCAAGAACAGAGCGAATAAGAACCCAGTATGAAGTGGTTTTAATCCTCAAAATACCGAATATATAGCAATTTTCAGCGAGAATTTGGCCCGGTCTAGCTAGTATCATAGCAAAATTATATAGGTAGGCGCATCAACACAACTGCTGGTACAATGAACTGTCAAAACATTTTTGGAATTCAAAGTTGCGAATGAAGAATTATTTAAATTGATTACATTTTTTAAAAAATCAAATCATATAAAAAAAAATCAATTCATTTTCGAATATTTTTTTTTAAATATATTTGTCATATCCATTTTTACGAGTGGTGATGCATCTACCTGTATTCTTCTACAATGGCCAGTAACCAACCGAAGTATTAATAACTGGTGGCGCCATCTCTTTAGCATTATTTGGCGCAATACATAGCCACGACATTTACCGTCAGAAATATATTATTTTGTTCAGAATTCAATAGATGGCAGTTTACACTTGGGTGAAATATATGAAAAGTATGAAAAGTCCGATGCAAGTCATTTGATATAGAGTCCATGAACATTTTGTCCTTTTTATACCCTCCGCCTATTTTTTTTATCGAAATATTCAAATATACATCAAATTTTAGAATAAATTTAGTTTTGCTCGATTTGGTCTCCTTTGGCACGAATTATGGCCTTCAAACGGCCAATGAAACCGTCAAATGCTGCCCGAATGTTGCTCTGCGGTATTTTGGCCCATTCCCGGCGAAGCGCTTGCTTTAGGTGATCGACACTTTGGTGTTTACTTTCCAAAAAAATTCCAGACCAACGGATTGGATTCCGGAGATTTTGGTGGTCATTGTGCGCTGAAAATGAAGCAAGGAACCTCATTTTGTAACCATTTTTGGGTGGCGAGTGCTGAGTGCGAAGGTGCTGAGTCCTGTTGGAATTTCCAAGGTTTGCGGCCAAAATGTTTGCGTGCCCAAGCCTTTAATACACCCTCCAGAATAATAATATTCGGCATTTATTCTGAAGCCACGGTCGGTTAATACGAGCGGAGAGAGACCATCAGCTGTTATGGCGACCTACACCATCACCATGACCGGCGCTTGAGTTCTGGTGGCCATCCGAAGGTGCACATTTTCAGCTGACCTCTTTGGCAAGTAAATTACGAACTCTAAATATGAAATTTGAAACAAATTCGGTGAATAATGTATCTAAAATCATCAAAATACCGAATATTGGGATATTGTGGACCAATAGACAATAGTGGACAATAGACATTTCTCTTCCAGGGGGTAAAGTTCTTAGAAAGAACTTCGAGTATGGATTCTTAGACAATTCATAATGTCTACTTTTTCTCCATTGGAATAATTTCCGAGTGGAATTTTTGTTTATGATAACAAAAATGGGGGAAATGAGAAATTCCGTATTGATTTTTATACCCTCAGACATGTGGCTACAGAGGGTATATACAAGGTCAAAACGTGCCTAGTCAAAATAACGGTTTTAGACCTTAGGTCTCTTTGGACCAAATCCTTTTCAGAACATTTGAAGTCGATCTAGCGATGTACGCCCGTCTGTCCGACTGGCTGGTGCGCAGGGTAACCCTCGAAGGGAGTATCCAAACTTGGTACATCGTAATATTTTTGTCAAACTTAGATCGAGTTCGGAGATGAGCAGCATTGGTCCACTCCTTCTGGTACTTTCCTCACAAAATATTGAAATTTCAAAGAAAATATTTTATTGCACAGAAATAGAAAGGATGATTCGATTTTGCTCCAACTTTGCAAATCATAATATTTCCATCAGTGCTAGGTCAAGTGAGAAAATGGACAATATTGGTCCACTCCTTCTGGTACCTCCCCCACAGAGGGTCAAAATTTTGAATAATTATAATTCTTATAAAATGTGATGTAGGAACCTGATTATCTTCAAATTTCACACATCCCAATATTTTATAAACCCAAGGTCTGGTGTTAAGATGGACAATATCGGACCACTCCTTCTCCTTCCCCACAAAAGGTCAAATTTTTCAAAAAAATATATATTTTGGCACAGATAGAGAATCGATAATCCGATTTTGTTCCAACTTTGCAAATCCTAATATTTGTGTCAGTGCTAGGTCAGGTGTGAAAATGGGCAATATCGGTCCATTCCATCAAGTACCTCCCCCACAAATGTTCAAAATTTTGAATAATTACAACTCTCATAAAATGTGATGTAAGAGCCCGATTGTCTTCAAATTTCACACATCACAATATTTATATTAACCCAAGGTCTTGTGTTAAGATGGGCAGAATCGGTCCACTCCTTCTGGTACCTCCCCCACAAATGGTCGAAATTTGCAAAGAACAGTATTTCTTGCACCGAAAGGAAAGCAATAATCTAATTTTGCAAATCCTAATATTTGCGTCAGTTCTAGGTCAGGTGCCAAAATGGATAATATTGGGCCACTCCATTAAGTGCCTCACCCACAAATGGTCAAAATTTTGAATAATTATAACTCTTAAAAATTATGATGTAAGAGTCCGATTGTCTTCAAACTTATTGATTGACCCATTCTTTCCAAACCCACTCCATAGAGGGTCAAGAATTTGAAAATTCATAACAGAAGTTAAAATATTCTAAAATAATCGAACATAGGCTGAGGGTATACATCTGTCGGCAAAACCGACCGACACTTTTTTACTTGTTTATTTGCGATTAGGCTGAATAAAATCCATTCAGTTTCATGGCTATTCCGAAAATTGTGAACGTTTCAAGGATTCCCCGCGTTCATTAAAACTACAACTCTTGATTATTATTTGTTATATTTCATTTATTTATTTATTAATATTATCATTAAATTTTAGTTGTTATTTACATTGTTTTTGTTTTTAAATAACTACTTTACATACATACAAACATTTGTATATAATTCGCTTAGCTGTGTTTATAGATTATGGGTAAAATAATACAATAAAAACGATATACCTAATTAAACAATTAATTAATAAATCTTATTAAACACAAAAAAAACTATAGAATATTAAAATGGTGGTTAAAATAGGACAATTAGTATAAATTACAATAATTGGTATTACAGATATTGGAATTTGTTGTTCTGTATATCCTTTGTTGTATGTGGTAAATGACTATTGGAATGGTAGGTCGGCAAATGAGCTTGGCGTTTAGTATTTAAACTCCGACATGACCTTTACACTGACCTACCAAACATTCAGAGTAATTCGAGGCGGAGAAAAAAAAACTTTGTTTGTCAAACGACATCGGGATCGATAGGTTATGTATGGCATTTGCTTTGTAAAAAACGATTAAATAAATTAATCATTTCTTTTTTTACTTCATTATTTATATTTTGTCATTAAAATTAGTTAAATCTATTATAACAATTATACATTTACACATATATATGCATATAAAAATTATTAAATATTTTTCATAATATAATATAGAGTTATTTTTCATTCTCTGGTAACCATACGAACTTGCAAGTCACTTGCTGCAGCAGGTACGTTTGTTAGAATACAATTATTTATTTTCTGTTTGTTTGGAATTTAAGTATGTGAACGTTTGTGTGTGTTGTATTCGGTTGGCGGTTACTTGGTATTTCTCAGGTCAGACTGAGGTAATCGTTTTTTATCTTAATAACGATTACTTTCTCTATCGGAATATTTGCCACTCATTTTACCAACCGAATAACGATCCGAATAGGCATCGTATTTATCTGCCTTATAATTGATTTCTTGCGGTGTATAGCCGATATTCTTTTGCCAATGTCGGGTCCAATAGAGATCTTCATTTCGAACTTGTGATGGCGTTTTGGCATCTCGACACACATACACACAGTAGACCATACAACCGATGAGCGTTAAGAAACCGAAAATTAGGAAAATGATACCAAGGATCCTGGAAAAAAAAGAAAACAAAGGAAAAAAATTACAACTATTAAACCTACGACTGGTGAGAAGATCCCTGGGGTCTTTTTCACTTTCAAACTTAAATAAATTCTTGATGGCCCGTGGGAAGTATACCCGCCCCAACAAATATTCTAAGGAATTTTTGTTCGGAATAGTTGGTCGGTCCTACCAATAGTTTTTAGTTTCATTTGAGATTTAAATGTGTTTAGTGCGGAAACGTGTTACAAAAATCCGCTGGGACCTTGTACAAATATTTTATTATTTAAACACATCACAGACCAGTTCCTTGAGTATAAGATCCTTTTGGCAACTTTCCTTTCCTTCCGATTTTTTGTTACCGCCTCTTTTCAATCGTTAGAAGTTATCCTTTTTACGCCTACTCTTACCTCCTTCTTCTCTCACAAAAACGCAAAGTTGAAGCTAGAAGCAACTATTCGAACAAGGGGCGGCACAAGCATGTTTTTTATTGCAATGAGCCACAGGCCGAACCTGCTGTAGCTTTGTAACCGCAGAGAAGGTTGTTGGGTGCGGTTTGAACTCTAAACGACTGGGGAGGAAGTATAACCGTACACTCTTTCCACAACAGCTGCCCAAATCTTGATCTGTGTTCAACACTGGAGCCAACGAGACCTAGTCACTGGACCAATATCCACATATGACATTGAATCTGATCATCGGGCACTAGAAATGTGCCTGCTCATTGACAACATCTAAAAAGTTGAGGGACAAGAATTACAGAATGGACTGCTTGAGCACATTCTTCCCGTGTATCGAAACGTAACCATTGTAGGGGTAGGTTCATGTGTAGTTAGACTGAGCTTCGAATTCAGATTGTCCATCGAAAACAACGTGCCAACACAGGATGACAGAGGTCGCTTCCTTGGAGATTATTCCCCAACATATTCAATTTTATCGCCGAGCAGAAAAGGCTATGGGGAATCTTAAGACGCACAGAAGATTCTGATCGTCATCCAATCTTCAAGGTCAACATAAGGAACCTAAGCATAATAATCAAGCAATTGGCTATTATTCACGAAAAAGATCGCTTCAAGGGCTATTTGGAAAACATTGAGGTGAACTCCCAGACATATGGCAGCTAAAAAAAGGAATCGTAAACAATGATGGAGTGTTAGCTTCGGATGGCACACAAAAAGTTGAGATCCTAGGCAGACCATATACAGCATAGTCATCAGTCCAAGGAAGTAATAGACAATTTTTTACGCAACCTGATCAACACATCAGTGGAAGGAGATGGAAATCAAAGACAAACCACAATCTACAGCAAGAACTTCAAACCACAATCTACAGCAAAGAACTACGATCAAAGTTGACCAACTAATTGAAGGGCTATTTGGAAAACATTAAGATGAGCTCGAAAACATAATGGAAGGTCAAGAGATCCGCTGGAGAGGCATTCCGGCAGTCAATCAAAGGAATCGTAAACAATAATAGAGGTTAACCTCGGATAACGCAGTTGAGATTCTGGCAGACCATACACAGCATTGTCATCAGCAAAGAGCTTTCGAAGATTCATCCATACGATCACGGTTGATGACCAACCAATTGAAGGCCTATTTGGAAAACATTGAGGTGAACTGGAAGGTCAAGAGAGCCACTGGCATATCATTCCTGCAGCCTATGAAAGTAATTATAAACAATGATTGAGTGGTTAACTCGGGAAACACACAAAAAGTTGAGATCCTGGCAGAATATATACACGTTAGTCGTCAGTCTGAGGAAATAATAGACAATACCTTGCGAAACCTGGTCTTTTCAGCAGCGGAAGTCCTCTGTTGCATTCGGATACGAAGTCAGAGTAGAAATGAATTTGTTGATCCAGACATGGTCGGATCAACTATAGCAAGAAGGTCACTGAGGAATGCTTGTGGCATCGATAAGGCCCCTGATATTGTTGTAAAGAAAGCTGGTGAAGCCATCGTCGTTTTCCTCACAATATTACTCAACCACTGCCTCAATATCGGCTATTTCCCAATAGCTTGGAAGGAGGTACTAGTGATTCCAATTCCTAAGCCCGGCTCAGATGCAACCCTTAGGGGGAGCTTTAGGTTACAAGACTAAAATGGGAACAATTGCAATTGGTCTGGACTTCACCATAGTCTTTGAACCGTATCAAACGGCAACATTGCATTTTATACCAAATGCAATAGTTTGGATTCGATGGACAACCTGTCGGATGGCAGCAAGCTTTCTCTAGAATAAAGACTTCTGGGTTAGAGTTGATGACTACCTGTCTGAGCAACGACTGGTCAAAGTGGGAGCTCTTCAGGGATCACTGTGAGTTCCTCAGGAACATGTTTGTTAGAGACATTCCCGGATCATCTAAAGAAGGATATCTGATAATGTACGCCGATGACATTTTATTGGTACTACGAGATCGCTTCAGAAGCACAGTGAAAATAAGATTGAATGTTCCACAACTACTTAAACAAATGAGGACTTTACCTCGACGTTGGAAACTGCGTATCTGTGGTTTACAAAGGCTAATTACAGCATACAGAAAAGTGCTTCCGAAGATACATCCCTACGATCAAGGTTGCTAACCAACTAATTGCAACTTTCGATACAATGAAATACCTAGGAATGGTCCAGCACAAGAGATTCTTTGAAGAGATTTTTATCTACAAACAAGATATGTAGCCCATAGTAAACTATTTCTTTGCCATAGCAAACCATAGTAAACCAATAATTGATGACAATGAGATTTTATATATGAACTTCAGATCTGCGCCTAAAAGTATGATTTTTCCATTTATATAGCACATGCTCTGCTCCAAAATCTGCAAGAATCTTCTAGTTTTGCAATTTTATTTCGATATCATAAAGGAAATGTAAGCGATCGTAGTAACATTTTTATATTTTTGTAAGTTCTGGAACAGAGCAAGGCAAACCACAGTCTAGAGCAAAGAGCTTCCGGAGATACATCTCTACGATCCCTACGTTGATTACCAACTAATTGGAACTTTCGATAGAATAAAATACCTGGGAATCATTCTGCACGACGGACTTGACTCCAGTCGTCACATGGACTATGTGCTGTCTAAAGTTATAAGTTACGCCTACCAGATGCAACTTCGGATGCGAGGAGGACTGTCGACGGATGTAAAACTGCTTATCTACAATCTAGTTATCCGGTCAATAATATCCTATTCCCTTGTCCCTTGGGCTGAAATATGTCTGCGAATAAAACGGAAATAATAATGATATGGAAAAGTAGGATCTTGCCATCGTGTTTAGGAATAAGACCAACAATTGGTGAGAACGGAATTTGATATATGAAGATGAGATCTTCGCCTAAAATTTTGCTTTTTTATTTATATAACATATGGTCTATTCTGGAACCTGCAAGAATCTACTAGTTTTGCAATTTTCGATATTAGAAGGAAAAATCGGTTATCGTAGTAAATTTGTTAAATTTTTGGTTCTGGAAAAGAGCCATTTATTATAAAAAGTTCTATTCTTTTCCATACCCAACTTTGATGGATTTACTGTTGATTTCGATATCTTTCTAACTCATTGAAAGACTTCCATGGTTGTACGGCTATAAGCCATAAAAGAAAACTCTTCCAATACCTCTAGACGGCTTCTTTATGGTCGTTCCTTTTGCCTTATATCTAAGTAAAAATCATGATTTTCTTTCCTACTTACCACACATACAACGGTTCATAGAATTGCACCACAATCACAAAGCCTAGCGTTACCAAGATCAGACCCAAATTCAACAGCAACATCAGACAGCAGACACCCTTAACATTGGGACAGAAGGGATTTGGGGCTGACATTGTTTCGATTTTGGCTCCACGTTTTGTTGTGCTTCGGGCACTGCGACCCGTTTTGGCAGTACTGGCCACGGAGTAAACACTGCGCGGTGCTCTCGATGGTGGGCGATGACTGTAGCGGCTGTCGAGAGAAGAATAAGTAAAATTACAATAAGTCTCTTCCGTGTCATTACACCTCACCTTATTTCGGATGGTGCCTTGTAAGCCGCACTGGTCACATAAATATCACTGCCAGTATCTCCACCATTATGATCATAGCTCAGAGCTGAGGGGGCTCGTGGTGGCAGCCGGGTTGGTGGTGGCCCACTGAGAGAGCGTGGACCACCACTATCGACCACCGACGTCGAATAGTGGCCATTCGAATGACCATTATTGATGCGGGTTTTACGCGATGAATGATAATGCCCTTGCGGCGAGGTACGCTCATGGGCTATTGTATACTCGGACATCGTGCGCTCCGAGGGTGCCCGATGTGATTCCTCGCCATCGGTGGAATAGCCGCGATTTGAGTGAACATAGGGTGGGTCGGGTGTCGAACGACCATGTGTGGCAACATAATGACCACCCTTGATTCTGTTTGGCGAATGAGAATCATTAAAAATTAAATGTTATGTAAAAATATTTAAGTCGGAAAACTTACTTTTTTACTCGTCTCTCATGCATTGTTCTGCAGTTAATTTGTATTTATTTATGGATGGCGTTGAATTATTGAATTTGAGTTTGAAACTTTAATCAGCAAGGAACTTCAAAACTGTTGAAATTTTCCGGTTAGAAAATGTTTTTGATTTCGCACTTTTGTAACAAAGTCTAGGCGTGCATTATTTTGGAAAATCTGAAATTAGAAGAAAAGTTAAGATGAGGTTAGAAATTTTTTATGCAGAGTTTCTATTTGAAGCGGACCCACTAGAATTATTTAAATTATTATTTGTTCACCCTTAGATTTTGTCGTATCTATTTAAATATCTGAATTCAACGGTGAAAAATGTCCCAATGTAAATAGTACCATAAGTTCACATCTCTGATCCCTTCTAACTTTTTCAGCTACTGTAGTTTTAGGCAGAAAAATGTGTATAAAAAGAGAATGGTCTTACAAGAAGTCATCCTAGATATCACCAGGGCTTTCGACACAGTCTGGCATGATGGAATTTTGTATAAATTCGAATCGTTTGGATCTGACAGTCAATTCTGTAGAATGGTAGCTAGTTTTCTTATGGATTGATTCTTCAGGATTAAAGTTTGTAAGCGACTCTCTAGCCGCCGCCTGGTCTTGGCAGGTGTTCCTTAAGGTTCTCTCCTTGGCCCGATGTTATACAACACCTTCTCCTGCGACAACCAGGCTCCTTCCCATGGTGGTCTTCTCCTGACCTTCGCCGATGATGCCTTATGTCGGTCAATAGGCAAGATGTCCTCGATGTCCTACATCTGTACATCGTTAAATGGCGCTTAAAGTTGAATTGATCGGCCGGGTATTTTCTACCCTAATTGTAGGAAAGATAGACTCGGAGCAGGTTCCCATCTCAGATAAGAGAATATACTTAAGTCTAGTATTTCACGAGGTGTTCGACGGTATTCGTCATATGTCCTTTCAATGGCCAAACGTCTGTATTTCGGATAAAGTGGAATCTTGAGGATGAGTAATGGCCTTTTCCAAGGTGTTAGGCGCTTGATCTACCGGTATGTGATCAGACCTTTCGTCGCCTATGCCATTTTCATCTGGTTTGGCATTTCGTCTCACCAGATGGAAAAGCTAAGTTTGTGGGTAAGGAAAATTCTTTACCTACAGTAATGGGCTTATTTTATAGAGCCCATTACCGGGCAGCCATGATTTATAAACAATATAATCGGATAGTAAAAAATCCTCTAATTGTAATCTTGTCCCTAGGGTTTAACCCTTTTTTCAAGTTAGGATTTTTAACAATTTTAATTATTGCATCATTGCGAATCCTTGACACATTCCTAGAGTGTATTTTACTTTCCTGACATGCGGCCTTTCTATAAATCAATACTTTAGCCTGATATGTATTTATTTTAGTTTTTTCCTTTTCTCTTCAAATTCTCTGCATGGTCCTTTCGTGCTTTGCGGACAACACTCTCAAAGGTCATATTTATTCAACTCATATCCGTATTTCAGGCAAAGAAACCCGCAAAATAAATAACAACAACAACAATTTCATAGGCAATCAAACATCTTTTCAGCTAATGGCGGAAATGTTCGAAAGGTGAAAATGTGACAATAAAGATGTCGTAACACACATACATTTAAAAATAAAGTATTTGACAACGGTGTTGTATGGGATTGTGGCAAAGCGGCAAAATGTCACTGCTTAAATAGATGAGTTTGACCACTCTTTGTATGTCATCATTGTGGCATACATACATAGACTTCCGGAAGGACTTTTTGGTTTACACATCGTTTTATGTCCTTTTGTAGATTATTTGCACATTTTTTAAGAGTTTAGTTTTAAAATCAAATTATTACTATACATCTATAGGGTGAGATGAAAAAACTGCAACCAACTTCAGACTGCTGTTATTTCTAAGCTACTCATCCGACAGCTGTTAAAATTATTTAAGTGACAGCTCATTATATTGTTTACAAGCGTACAAAAGCATTTTGGTGAGAATTTTCCAGAAAAAAGTTATTCGTGATGGAATTCAAGCGTGATAGTGTGATTTCTTTAAATTTGGCTGGAAAACCACAAGTGGCTATGGTTAGAGCACTCCAGCATTTGAATGTGAATAAATCATCGCTCGTTACCGTGATACTGGTAGCTTGGCCGACATCAAGGAAGTGGACGGAAGAAAACACCAACGTCAGCAGAAAATGGTTCAAAAAGTAAAGAAGCAACTTGATCGAAACTCGCGTCGCAGTGACCGAAAGATGGCTCGTGAGCTGAAAATATCGCAATATGCCATTCCGCAAATACTGAAAGCCATTGAAATTCAAAAAAGTTACACCGTAACAGAAAAAAAAATAGACTCAAAATAGCTAAAAAGTTGCTTTGCTTGGCCGAAAGTGGTGAACTTCCGAATTTGGTTTTCTCCGATGGGAAAACATTCGTTGTCCAGCAGTTTGTAAACAAACAAAGTGATCGTGTTTACTTGCCAAAGAGGTCATCTGAAAATGTGCACTTTCGGTTGGCCACCAGAACTCAAGCGCCGACCATGGTGATGGTGTGGGCCGCCATAACAGCCGATGGGCGCTCTCTGCTCGTAATAATCAATCATCAATCAATAATCGTGGCATTAGAATAAATGCGGAATATTATCGCGAAAATATTCTGGAGGGTGTATTAAAGACTTGGGACATTCCAACAGGACTCAACATGCGCCACCCAAGAATGGTTACAATGGTTTCTCGCCTCATTTCCAGCGCACACTGGCCACCAAAATCTCGGGATACCAATCCGTTGGACTATTACGTCTGGAGTATTTTGGAAAGCAAGGTTGGCACTAAAAAATACCATAGTGTCGATCACCTCAAGCAAACGCTTCGCTGGGAATGGGCCAAAATACCGCAGAGCAACATTTGGGCAGCGTGTGACGATTTCATTGGCCGTTTGAAGGCCATAATTCGTGCCAAAGGTGATAAGTTCGAACAAGTCTAAACTTCTTCTAAAATTTGATTCTATTTCCGACATATTTTGCTTTCACTAAATAAATTTAAAAAAAATGTCAAAATTATGGCATTTGGCTTTGTTGCAGTTTTTTTTATCTCACCCTGTATATATGTAAAGGAAATAGATCTTAGTTATTCCATTTATAAGTCAGGAACAGATTTCCACAATTCTCATCAATTTGGAATGATCTCTTGCCAGAAAAGCATAAAATCTAAAAAAGTTCCGTAAAAATATGAATTAAAAAAGTGAATATTTTTTTGTAATTTTTTTTAATTATTTTCATATTTTTTTATCGCAAGCGATTTTTTCAATTTCACAATTTTGAATTGTAAATTTTCTAAATTTTACATAAGAAGAGAGAGCATTTTGGATGACCATTGGGTTATACATAGCTGTAAAATGGACCACAACTTTCGTGTGAAGATGTATGGAATACCTAACAACAGGAGGGAGTGCGTAAATATTGGCCAAATGCCCCCGATTAAAAAGCCAAGGGTAACATCTGGGCAGGGCTCTACGACAATATTTCAATAGCGAAATCTTCCAAATTCGATTTTGAAGTAAGTGGGCTTTCAACATATTCTTGTGTATCATATGGTTGGCCCCGTACGACGATAGTCTTTGCTTACTTGTTTTTATACCCTCCACCAAACTATGGAGGGTATATTAACTTTGTCATTCCGTTTGTAACTTCTCGAAATACTCATGATAGACCCAACTGAGTATATATACTCTTGATCAGCGAAAAATTCTAAGTCGATTTGGCTATGTCCGTCTGCCTGTCTATCTGTCTGTTGTAATCACGCTATCTTTTGAACGAATTGAGTAGAAGGCTAAAATTTTGCACACATGTTTATTTTTCCAGTAGGCAGGTTAAGTTCGTAAATGGGCCATGTAGGTCCATGTTTTCATACAGCCCCCATACAACGGTACCTCCCGATATTCGGTATTTTGATGATTTTAGCGACACTATTCACCGGAATTGTTCCAAATTTTGTATTTGAAGTTCGAAACGGATACTTCAACCTAAGACAGAAAATAGTCTGTACAGGTCCACGTTTTCATATAGCCCCCATATAACGGTACCTCCCTGATATTCGGTATTTTGATGATTTTAGCGACACAATTCACTGGAATTGTTTCAAAATTGGTATTTGAAGTTCGAAATGGATACTACCGCCTAAGACAGAAAATTGTCTGTGCAGGTCCACGTCTTCGTATAACCCCCATATAACGGTTCCTCCCAATATTCGGTATTTTGATGATTTTAGCGTCATAATTCAACGGAATTGTTTCAAATTACGTATTTAGAGTTCGTAATGGGAACTACAGTCTGTGACAGAAAATTGTCTATGCAGGTCCAGGTCATCGTATAGGCCTCTATATTCGCTATTTTGACGAGTTTAGGTACAATACCCACCGAAATTGTTTGAAATGTCGTATTTGAAGTTCGTAATGGATGCTACAGCCTGTGACAAAAAATTGTTTATGCTGGTCCAGGTCTCCGCACAGCTCCAATATAACGGTACCTCCCTAAATACGATATGTTAATGATTTTAGCTTAATTATTCACCGTTTATTTCAAGTTTCGAATTTGAATGTGGTAATGGCTTATGACGAACAATATCTATATAGACCCACGTCGTATAGACCCCAATATAACGGCTATATTCGGTATTTTTAAAATTTTAATAGAGTGTTTTAAGGATATTAATTTTTTGATAATTTCCAAATTCGTGCCAAATGGTGGGGGGTATTCAAAGTTCAGCCCGGCCGAACTTCCTACTTTTTAACTTGTTCCATATTTTTTTTCTGTGTTGCACAGTGTTATCAAATCTGATATTTGGATGCCGTGGTGTCATAAACATGACATCAGTATTCGTATTCAAGTTGTGAATTAAGAAAGTTCGCCACCAAAGCCAGAGATATGCAGCAACACATATCTTGGAGTACATTATCTTGATTGGTTCTTAAGTTTCGTGTGAATTATTTGTGAATGGTAAATGTTATGAGTTATGTTTGTCTGGCGCAGTAGCAGGGTGAGGCAATTGGAGTGATATCAACCATATGGACTTTGTTATTTAAGATTTTCAAATATCAATATTGATATTCAAATGATATGTAACTCAAGAATAAATATATCAAAAAACTTTCCGTAATAAAAATTATAAATAACAGGGAATTCAGCATTTGAGGTATATTTAAGAAATTT